GGTCGCGGTGTGGGGGCTGCATGGGAACGGCCTACAGAGCCCTCATGTTTACGCAGCCGCTCCCGCCGACACTGAGGATGGTTCGCATCACCATGCCCACCCGATCGCAGCAGTTCCTGCCGATAGAAATCGCACGTGGTGACGTCGAGGTTGTTGTCGCCCCCAGAATAACGAAGAAAATATTGGCAGAAAGGACGTCAACGACTCCCTTGCTGGTCTGAAGGTTTTTCTGGGCATTCGACCCACAGCCACTTCCTTTAAAAACAGTGGAAGTGCGCAGGGCAGCAGCCCGGCCGCCCGGACAGGAGCCGGCGTCCGCCGCAGTGCACACTCTCTGGCTGGGAGCTGGTTTTCTGGAAAAGATGAGCCTGGAACTGACAGCACAGATTATGCCGCTGGAAACATTCGGGTCTTTCCGATTTGTTTTGCAGATACTTTTTCTCTTTCTGCCTTCCCAGGAGGGGCTCTCAGACACATTGGCTCTGAGCACATGCTCTCTGTCCTGTAAGAATAACAGCCACTAACGTCTCAGCCCTCTGCCCACTTTTTACGTAGATTCAGCTTCGGAGAAAAACAAAACAACATAAAATCTCAGCCGTTTTTATAAATGCAGCCAGTCTTTCTCTTCACGCCTAAGCGGACTGGGTCCATGTGCACACGCTCGTGTGCCGGGTCCATGTGTACACGCTTATGCGCAGGGTCCATACGTACACGCTTGTGCGCTGGGTGCATGCAGGCCGCCCGGACAGGAGCCGGCGTCCGCCGCAGTGCACACTCTCTGGCTGGGAGCTGGTTTTCTGGAAAAGATGAGCCTGGAACTGACAGCACAGATTATGCCGCTGGAAACATTCGGGTCTTTCCGATTTGTTTTGCAGATACTTTTTCTCTTTCTGCCTTCCCAGGAGGGGCTCTCAGACACATTGGCTCTGAGCACATGCTCTCTGTCCTGTAAGAATAACAGCCACTAACGTCTCAGCCCTCTGCCCACTTTTTACGTAGATTCAGCTTCGGAGAAAAACAAAACAACATAAAATCTCAGCCGTTTTTATAAATGCAGCCAGTCTTTCTCTTCACGCCTAAGCGGACTGGGTCCATGTGCACACGCTCGTGTGCCGGGTCCATGTGTACACGCTTATGCGCAGGGTCCATACGTACACGCTTGTGCGCTGGGTGCATGCATACACGCTCGTGTGCTGGGTCCATGTGTACACACTCGTGTGCCGGGTCCATGTGTACACGCTTATGCGCAGGGTCCATACGTACACGCTTGTGCGCTGGGTGCATGCATACACGCTCGTGTGCTGGGTCCATGTGTACACACTCGTGTGCCGGGTCCATGTGTACACGCTTATGCGCAGGGTCCATACGTACACGCTTGTGCGCTGGGTGCATGCATACACGCTCGTGTGCTGGGTCCATGTGTACACACTCGTGTGCCGGGTCCATGTGTACACGCTTATGCGCAGGGTCCATACGTACACGCTTGTGCGCTGGGTGCATGCATACACGCTCGTGTGCTGGGTCCATGTGTACACACTCGTGTGCCGGGTCCATGTGTACACGCTTATGCGCAGGGTCCATACGTACACGCTTGTGCGCTGGGTGCATGCATACACGCTCGTGTGCTGGGTCCATGTGTACACACTCGTGTGCCGGGTCCATGTGTACACACTTGTGCGCAAGGTCCATACGTACACGCTCGTGTGCCAGGTGCATGCACGCACGCTCGTGTGCTGGGTCCATGCGCGCACGCTCGTGTGCTGGGTGCATGTGTGCACGCTCGTGTGCTGGGTCCATGCACGCACGCTCGTGTGCCAGGTGCATGTGTGCACGCTCGTGTGCTGGGTGCATGTGTGCACGCTCGTGTGCTGGGTGCATGTGTGCACGCTCGTGTGCTGGGTGCATGTGTGCACGCTCGTGTGCTGGGTGCATGTGTGCACGCTCGTGTGCTGGGTGCATGTGTGCACGCTCGTGTGCTGGGTGCATGTGTGCACGCTCGTGTGCTGGGTGCATGTGTGCACGCTCGTGTGCTGGGTGCATGTGTGCACGCTCGTGTGCTGGGTGCATGTGTGCACGCTCGTGTGCTGGGTCCATGCACGCACGCTCGTGTGCCAGGTGCATGTGTGCACGCTCGTGTGCTGGGTGCATGTGTGCACGCTCGTGTGCTGGGTCCATGCACGCACGCTTGTGTGCCGGGTGCATGTGTGCACGCTCGTGTGCCGGGTCCATGTGTACACACTCGTGCTGGAGAGTGAAGGTGTAGACCGTATTCCTCTGGTGGGTTCACACACAGCCTTTCTGCCAAGTAACTGCTAGTGGCCTAGTAACACTCCTCCCACACCCGCGCCAGGCAGGGTCAGCTGCAGGCGCCCTCCCTCCCGGCAGCCCCTCCTCCAGTGACAGTGTGGGGGGGAGGGGCGGGGGGGGCAGCTCAGGCTCCTCGGTTTATTTTCCATCCCCTTCCTCTCAGCCTGTTTAACAGCTCTAGCTCTTTAAGGATGTGCTTCAGAATATTCCGTGAAGAGGTTTTAGTGCCGGGACGAATAGCAGCCTGTGCAGTGCAGCGCAGCCTCCAGCCCGTTACGCCGCGAGGCCCAGCGGTGGGACCCTGTGAGCCTGTCCGCCTGCGCTGGGCTCTGGAGGGAAGGGCCGTGGAAGGAGGCGGCGGAGCCTGGCTGTGTGAGTCTCCTCTCGGGGCCACAGCGGCTCTCCTCTCCGGGCTGTGGACCCAGGACCAGCCTCGGTGCCACGAGCAGCACCCGCAGGCTCCGCGCCTCCCTCGCTGAGTCCCAGGCTTGTTTCCTGTCACTTTCTTAGCGGGCCAGGCAGTGCTGTCTTGCTTTCAGTTAAACTTCTCTGCTTCCTGGTGGATGGTCATCTTGTCACGTGACGACTCACCGTTGAGGAGCCAGGAGAAGGGCCGCCAGGCGGACAGCCCGCACCCCATCTGCAGGAGCCTGGTGGGATGCGATGCAACTTTCAAAAAAATTGTTAATCGGTTAGTAATAATTGTGTTACATAATTAACGTTCACTAATGAAAAATGTTAAAAACTGAGTAACTTTTTGGCAGATCCAGGTCGTGATCAGTATTTGGGTGGCCTGCCCGTTGTCCGCAGGTGTTATGAGATGTAGGATAGCCGATTCCCCTGTCTGCCCAAGGCACCGGGTGAAATGGGGCGGAGATTCAAGGTCACGTGTCTGGCTTTCATTTTACCCGTGAGGACCCGGGCCAGTGTCTTACCCTGACGGTGCTCCATAAAAGTCAGTCTGGGTGGCGACCCCTCCTCAGCCTAAAGCCCCTGGATTTCCGGAGATGTCACCCTCTGTCCTTCCTCCTCGCCTCCCTCTTGTATCCCTCTGTCCCTGCTCCCCGGGGCCGGCTCGGGGCCTGCGCTCGTTCACCTCGCTCCCTTGCTCCGGAGAGGGAAGCGGTGGGAGGACCACAGGGTCCTGGCAGCGGCTGGGGAAGCCTCGCCCTTCCTCCGAGGAGGGGGCAGCCGTGCAATATCCCTCCTGATGGCCGAGCCGCCATGGGGGGGAGGGTCAGCTCCCGCGGGAGGCGTGTGGAGCCCTGGCAGGTGGGGAGGCGTCTCAGAGCTGAGCTGTGTTTACGAAAGAGGCGCCGCTTCTATGGGCTCCGTCGTTTTCAAGTTCACGTTCCGATCGGGGGCGGACGCCCGGTGGGCCCTCTGAAGGGGCCTGGGCCGTCTGGGGCCTGTTGACTAAGAATCGCACCAGGTCAGCTGCTGCATTTGACTCTCCTGCTCTGAGGCCAGCGGCTGAACAGAGCCAGGCCTTGTTCTTGGCGTGAGAATATAGAATATAGTGTTTAAAGACAGGCAAGCCCGGCCGGGTGGCTCCGTGGCTGAGCATCGACCTAGGAACCAGGAGGTCACGGTTCGATTCCCGGTCAGGGCACGTGCCCAGGTTGTGGGCTTGATCCCCAGTCAGGAGGCGGGCGGGGGGACGTGCAGGAGGCAGCCGATCCATGATTCTCTCTCATCACGGATGTTTCTCTCTCTCTCTCCCTCTCCCTTCCTCTCTGAAATCAATAAAATATATTTAATAATAAAAAAAGGCAGGGTAGCTGCCCCCGTGCACACACGTTAATGGGGAGACAGACAACAATGTTCCGCTCGGGGGCTCCTGAGAGACCCCCCTCTGCCCGAGTCCCGGACACTCGGTGGACTCCGAGCCTCGTCAGCGCGAGGGCTGGCCCGTGGGTGCCGGGCTCTGCCGTCCACTGGGCGCGTCCTCCAGCCTGCGAGCGCGAGGGTTTCTGAGCAGCTGCCTCTCGCAGGCGGCAGAGAGCACTCGGAGGACACGGAGCCCCAGCCCATCGGTGACAGTGGTGCCGCCGGCCTGGCCCTCCCGCCTGAGATGCCGATTCTGATCGACCTCCACGCCCTCAAGGACATCCTCGGGCCCCCGATGTACGAGATGGAGGTGAGCACCTCCCTGGCGATGCCCTCTCGCGCCCCCCCCATCTGCTCTTCCCTGTGGGGCGGAGCCAGGAGCCCCCGTGCTGCCCTGTGATTCTCCAGAATCACGTTTACCATCAGGATTTCACCCTGAGCCCCGGGAAGGAGTCAGCGGCAGCGCCCGGCCTCTACTCAGCGCGCTGACCCGGTGGCCTCTGTGGGTGGGAGATGCCGAGGCCCAGAGGGCCCGGGTCAGTGGGATTCCCCCTGCACGTGGGCTTTCGTAGCTGGGACACGTTTGCCTAATGGGCTGGTCAGCGAGGCCCACGATCTCGGGCGTGGCACGTGGAGTTTGCAGTGGCAGGGAGGCCTCCCAGTGCCCGGGGAGGGGCCTGGAGTTCAGGGTCTGCGGCGGTAACAGCGAAGAGGAGCCGGGACTTGGCAGGGAGGCCCACTCCCTTGGTGTGGGTTCGGGGAGGCTCCCGCTTCCTGAAACAGCCGTGGTGGCGAGTGCTGGGGTCGGGCGCGTTACAGACACAGGCTGATAAGGTGGCCGACAGCCGAGACCCGCTGGTTCCCGGGAGGCGGGTGTGTGAGATATGCTCCTGGCTCCACGTCCTCAGACACTGTTAGGTACAAGGCTCCTGAGAAAGGCCGCCGAGAGCTCGGCGTGTCCCGGCAGGAAGCCCACGCACAGGCTGTGAGCGACGCCTGTCCGAGGGTTTCTGAGCAGCTGCCTCTCGCAGGCGGCAGAGAGCACTCGGAGGACACGGAGCCCCAGCCCATCGGTGACAGTGGTGCCGCCGGCCTGGCCCTCCCGCCTGAGATGCCGATTCTGATCGACCTCCACGCCCTCAAGGACATCCTCGGGCCCCCGATGTACGAGATGGAGGTGAGCGCCTCCCTGGCGATGCCCTCTCGCACCGCCCCCCTTATCTGCTTTTCCCTGTGGGGCGGAGCCAGGAGCCTCCGTGCTGCCCTGTGATTCTCCAGAATCACGTTTACCATCAGGATTTCACCCTGAGCCCCGGGAAGGAGTCAGCGGCAGCGCCCGGCCTCTACTCAGCGCGCTGACCCGGTGGCCTCTGTGGGTGGGAGATGCCGAGGCCCAGAGGGCCCGGGTCAGTGGGATTCCCCCTGCACGTGGGCTTTCGTAGCTTGGACACGTTTGCCTAATGGGCTGGTCAGCGAGGCCCACGATCTCGGGCGTGGCACGTGGAGTTTGCAGTGGCAGGGAGGCCTCCCAGCGCCCGGGGAGGGGCCTGGAGTTCAGGGTCTGCGGCGGTAACAGCGAAGAGGAGCCGGGACTTGGCAGGGAGGCCCACTCCCTTGGTGTGGGTTCGGGGAGGCTCCCGCTTCCTGAAACAGCCGTGGTGGCGAGTGCTGGGGTCGGGCGCGTTACAGACACAGGCTGATAAGGTGGCCGACAGCCGAGACCCGCTGGTTCCCGGGAGGCGGGTGTGTGAGATATGCTCCTGGCTCCACGTCCTCAGACACTGTTAGGTACAAGGCTCCTGAGAAAGGCCGCCGAGAGCTCGGCGTGTCCCGGCAGGAAGCCCACGCACAGGCTGTGAGCGTGACGCCTGTCCTGTGGGCGCCGGCCCTGGAGGTGCGGTCCGTGGCCTGCACACTCGCTCGTCACCTACCCACCCCCCCCACAGGTGTCTGAGCGCCTGAGTCAGCCGGGGGTGGCCATCGGCCTGGCGTGGACGCCCTTAGGCGGGGAGATCATGTTCGTGGAGGCCAGTCGGATGGACGGTGAAGGGCAGCTGACGCTGACGGGCCAGCTGGGGGACGTCATGAAGGAGTCCGCCCACCTCGCCATCAGCTGGCTCCGCAGCAACGCCAAGAAGTACCACCTGACCAACGGTGAGTGGCGGGGTGCGGGGGGCACAGCGAGCCGAGGTGGCAGCGCCCGGCCTCTACTCAGCGCGCTGACCCGGTGGCCTCTGTGGGTGGGAGATGCCGAGGCCCAGAGGGCCCGGGTCAGTGGGATTCCCCCTGCACGTGGGCTTTCGTAGCTTGGACACGTTTGCCTAATGGGCTGGTCAGCGAGGCCCACGATCTCGGGCGTGGCACGTGGAGTTTGCAGTGGCAGGGAGGCCTCCCAGCGCCCGGGGAGGGGCCTGGAGTTCAGGGTCTGCGGCGGTAACAGCGAAGAGGAGCCGGGACTTGGCAGGGAGGCCCACTCCCTCGGTGTGGGTTCGAGGAGGCTCCCGCTTCCTGAAACAGCCATGGCGGCGAGTGCTGGGATCGGGCGTGTTACAGACACAGGCTGATAAGGTGGCCGACAGCGGAGACCGGCTGGTTCCCGGGAGGCGGGTGTGTGAGATGTGCTCCTGGCTCCACGTCCTCAGATACTGTTAGGTACAAGGCTCCTGAGAAAGGCCGCCGAGAGCTCAGCGTGTCCCGGCAGGAAGCCACGCACAGGCTGTGAGCGTGACGCCCGTCCTGTGGGCGCCGGCCCTGGAGGTGCGGTCCGTGGCCTGCACACTCGCTCGTCACCTACCCACCCCCCCCACAGGTGTCTGAGCGCCTGAGTCAGCCGGGGGTGGCCATCGGCCTGGCGTGGACGCCCTTAGGCGGGGAGATCATGTTCGTGGAGGCCAGCCGGATGGACGGCGAAGGGCAGCTGACGCTGACGGGCCAGCTGGGGGACGTCATGAAGGAGTCCGCCCACCTCGCCATCAGCTGGCTCCGCAGCAACGCCAAGAAGTACCACCTGACCAACGGTGAGTGGCGGGGTGCGGGGGGCACAGCGAGCCGAGC